CATAGCTCCTGCTTTCCTCTCCACTAACAAAGTGTGGGGAGGAACCCATGACAGTGACAACAAAACCCTTATCTGAAACCAACCCGTGCGTTCGTGCGTGCAGGCAGTGGAGGCAGCATACTGAAGCTTCACGAGGACGTGCAGACCTGTGGATACAAGGACGTGCAGGTGATGTTCGAGATGCTGACCTCGGAGCTCGAGGACCCCAAGAGGCGCAAGCAACAGCAGGCGGCCTCCTGGAGGCCGCCCTCGGCGTGGCCCTCCCGGTCGTCGTCCTCGATCGCGGCCGCGGCGCAGTAGAGACCCCGACGCCGACATGGAATGCAGCTCGGTTTGGTAGCACCGGTCCATAATAACAAGACGAGGAGGAGGGCCGATTTAGTAAGTAAGCAAGCACCCTGTGGTAATAGTGTTAATTAGTCAGTCTGGCAACTCAATGCCTGATGCCAGGCACCGATCAGCACCCCCATCCCCCTGCCCGTCGACTCTCCGGGAAAAAGAGCGAGGAATTCAGTTTGCAGAGCGGGTCGCAAGCCTCTGAAAGTCTGAATGTTTTCTGTACATGTCGCATGCCGATTGCGCTGAATTCTCGCAAGCTCGGAGAAGCGATGGAGCAAGAGGGGTTTACTTTTCAATCAACCATATATAAGGGGTCGTTCGGTAGTCCACCCGCTCCGCAGTATTTTAGAATCTGCAGAGTACCGTTTCTCTCGCTCCGTACTTTTTAACTACAACTCCCGTCGACTCCGGGAGCGGCCTCGTGGAGCGGAGGCCCTCCGAACAGGCCCTAAATATCCGGTTTCCCTGTCGTTCATATGTCATTTTGATTAGTTGTCACCTGCTATTCAACAGTGATGTTAAGTCGGCCGAATTTCGGTATTCGCCTTGCTCATTTCTTGGTGTTATCTGGTGTGGCGAAATGAAGGGGACCAATTAGCAACAAAAAATATGTTCGGGGCAATTTGTGGGGGGAGAGTAATGGAGGAGCACGACAGGCGCAACTTGCAGGGTTTCTTTCATGGCCGAAGTTGACACTTAACAGAAAACCGGGCGAACCCAACAAAGGGAAGCGACACGTTATGGGCCGTTAATTCCCTTGCGGAGAGGCGACCGCAGCATTATCCATCGACGTCTCCCTTTTAATGGTGCCATTTTATAGTACTACGAGCATCGTGTTGCAGGTTATACTTGTATTGTTTGGCACCAGCTTCTCTTTTCTGTTCAGCCATGACTATACATGGGTTTGGCAGAAGTGGTTTTCATCCGTTGACATTCGACAAGACGATGCAATTCAGGCAAGATACTACCAGATTTACTCAAACTGAGAGCAACTCCAACGGGCCGATCCAAACGGACGGCGCTTTTATCCGCTTTTTTTCTATTTGGATCGGCCCGGCGGACACAAACATCTGATGCTGTGTTTGAGTCGGCGTGAGCGTCCAACGCTAGCCCGACCCATTTTGTCGGCACGCCAAAAAAATATTGCGAGCAGTTTGAAAATAAATATATGCATTTAATTAAACATAAAAGCCGGCCACGAATGCCGGCGAAAGTTCACATTACATTAATAAAAACACTAAAAACAAAACGACGTGCTGCCCTAGGCGTCCTCATCGTCGGCGGCGTCTGCATCAGAACCGGTGAGGTCGATCAACGTCGGCGCAGGGCCGGCCCAAGGGAACGCCGTGTTCCAGACGGCGGCAATGTCGGGCTTTGCCGCCGCTGCCTGGGCCTGGCACGCCTCCTCGTCGGCCTCGCGCTCGAACATCTGCAGACGCTTGCCCTCCCGTCGCTCCTCGGCCAGCCGAACGCGGCGCCAGTGGTCGAGGTAGGCCGCCTCCTTCTTCTCCGTCGCCCCGAGCCAGATCGATGCAGCGCTGACCCACTCGCGCACTACTCCGGTCCAGGAGTAGCGGTCGCGGTAGGCCGGCTCCTCCGGCTCGGCTTTGGGCGGGGACGACGGGGCCACCGGCGGCATGACGCAGTCGCCTGCTGCGGAGAGGGCCATGGCCTCCGCCATGGCAGCCTCGAAAGCCGCCTCGTCCGCCTCCCTCCATCGCTCCTCCTGCTCGCTCTCCTTGATGGCCGCCTGGTAGGCGGCCTCGGCCTCCTGGTCCTCGTCGCGGACGACGAGTGCGGGCGGCGGCAGGCTGTGGTCGACGCCGCGGACGCCGCGCCGCCTCGCCTTCTCATGCTCAAAGGCGAATCATCGAGTCTAGTTGGGCGAGTCGGCGGCGAAGTGCGGGTCGGCGCGCTGCTCCGACGTCAGCAATGCCCGCCGGCGCCGCACCTCCTCCGCATGGGCCCTCGCCGTCCGCGGCGCCGCCGGCACTGGGATCCTCTCCGGATCCAAATGCCAGTCATGCGGCAGCGTCACGTCCGGGTACGGCAGAGGCACGCGGTGGTGCCAGTACCACTCGGCCTGGTGCAACGGCACGTTGATGCGCTGCCTCTGCCGGAGAGCGCGCGCCGGCGCGGGGAGGGCGGGGAGGGAGGGGGAATGGCGGGCGGGGGCTTTGCCCTTGCGGCTGCTGCCGATACCGGAGAAGAAACCCATGCTGGCGGTGGATAGGGTTGTCGCCGGCATGGGGGCAGGGGTGGCCAGATGGGGACGTGGGGCGAGTGGTAAGTGGATGAGGACGGTCCCGTCGCACGCCCGGCTTAAAAAAGGACGACCGCCGTCGCTGACGCGTGGGCCCAAGGTGGACGGTCGTCATAAATTATGTTGACCGTGGCGGTTGGGTGGCCGCCGGGTAGAGACGCGACGGACGGCGAGGAGACGCGCGGCGCGTTGGGCCGTTACTTTTGTCCGCGCCAATTTAAACGAACGCAGGCAGACAAAATGGGTCGCTCCATTGGAGTTGCTCCGAAAACTCAGACCGCTGTATGTCCACTGCATCATTGCGTTAAAGACAAATGGATGGCCTGAAGAAACAACAGTGCCGTTTGGAATAATCACTATCATGGCAAGAAAATACAACCTCTTCTGAACACCATCGCGCGCGTCCTGACCCTTGCGTTGTTCGCCGGAGACAGCGACTAGTAGGAAGACCAAATGGGTTAAGGGGGCGACCGATGAAATGAAAGCATGTCCTATCAAGCACTCTGAATAATGATTGATCTGAGGAAGCTAAGCCTAGGCACAACCTAAAAATATCGACGGCCGTAATCCAAATCATGCAGCGCTGCGCTGTGCCGTGCCGTGTCGTGTCGAATTATTACACCGGCAACACGCTGAGAGGTGCTTCCAATTCAGAGAACCCAAAGAGCGCGCAAAAACCTAAAAACAAAAGGGTTGCTCTCCTGATTGCTGCATCATGTGATGTTACATGGATTCATACGCATCTTGGTAGGCCACGGTGCTGCTGAGAATTGCCATTTGCCATCCATCCATACATCCATCAACCTCTCTCTGAGACGCAAAAACAAGAAACTTTGGACGGCCTCTGTGGGTGTGCGTGTGGGCGAATGATGGCGAAGAACTGAATAGAATTATGGCGGAATGACGTTGATACGGCACGAGGCGAATATGATAAGTGCGAGGCGGTCAGAGCCATGAGGATGTTTGCAAAGTAAAGGCAGGACAAAGGTATCCCGATGTCTTTGAGACTTTGTCCAACACCAAGTACGCGCACATTGAGTATTGTAAGTCTTGTAGCTTGCTTGATTCTTTATGTAATCATGCTGACACAAAGGGGATGAGAAAGGCTTGGGAGTTCATGGCTGCTATGATTCTGTGCAAGGACAAGGAGTGCTGGTGGAATTCTCCGGATTGTCGACGATCTTGGCATGGTGGCAATGGAAAGGTAGCCGGCATTATACAGGACAGACAGGAAACTACAAAGAAACATAGGGAATTCTTGTTGAACAGAGCCAGGGGGAGTTTTATAGTGCAGCGTTGGATCGGGTGTGCATGTTCCCGTATCACCGTCCGCTGCCGACCTCGACAAATGGAGACGACAAGTGAGGGAGATCACGTACTGCTCTGATTGGAACTGTGCGAAATCGAACTAGTGCTAGATGTGTGAAAACGAGCTGGTATAAAACATGGTATATTTCGAACTCCTTGTTCTGTATGGTACATAGGAGTAGATGGCAACAGGCTCAGTATTCCGCGTAAATGTTGTTAACCACGTGAGACCAATTTACCTCCGTTTGGAGAGAAAATGTGTACAGCAAATGTTCGGTTTCACCATCAAGTTCGATGTTTCTGGTTAGCACCCTGGGGTCTACAATCACATGTTTGCAATTAATTAACGACAGCCGATGCTTTCCGATGTGGTTTTCTCTGCACGGCAGCAAGAAAAGTTTGTTTCGACACGTTCAGACGAGGACATGACAAAGATTTAAGGAGTGCGGATTTATTACTTTTTTTTTATGATTTTCTTACGGGAAGCGGAATCTTCTTTCTCTGTTTTAAAACGCCTTGTACAATTTTCAGATGTATGGACACTTGTGAGTTGCGACAGCACACACATGCGCGCGCACATACATGTAGTGAAGCTGGACGAAAACAAAGCAATGCACCAATTGAATATGCATAACACAACCACCTCAACTTGTGTCGAACGCTTCGATAATACTCACAAGAGAGACAAATAATTTGGGGCAGTCATCTGCGCCGGTGCACCGGCCGAACGATTCGGCCGGTCGAAGGCCCAACGTCCGATCGCTTTGCCTCGGGCCGTTAGATCACGCCCTTCCATCACCCCCTTCCTCGAGCGCACGAGCGACAACGGCTCCCTCCATCCCCACGGTGCTAATCTCGCTCGCGCACGCCTCCCCATCTCGCTCCCCGGTGCTAATCTCGCTCGCGCACGCCTACCTGTCTCGCCCCCACCCAGCGCAGGTCGTTGACTGCTTCTTCTTCCCTCCCAGCGTCTTCCAGGACCTCCTCCCTGTTGGGGAAAGTAGTAATTGAAAAATTTACCTACGATCACGCAAAATCTATATATGAGATGCATAGCAACGAGACGGGAGAGTGTGTCCACGTACCCTTGTAGACCGAAAGCGGAAGCGTTTAGTAACGCGGTTGATGTAGTCGAACGTCTTCAGGATCCAACCGATCCAAGCACCGAAAGTACGGTACCTCCGTGTTCAGCACACGTTCAGCACGATGATGTCCCACGAGCTCTTGATCTAGTTGAGGACGAGGAAGAGTTCCGTTAGCACGACGGCGTGACGACGGTGATGATGAAGTTACCGGGGCAAGGCTTCGCCTAAGCACTCCGACGATATGACCGAGGCGTGTAACTATGGAGGGGGGCACCGCGTACGGCTAAGAGAAGACTTGGTGTGTC